TGCTTCACAATAATGTTAATGATGAAAATAAATGCTTAGTTAAATAAAGACTACATGCAGACTTTAAGTATCTGTGTGATAGATTACATAACTCAAGTTACAAGAGTTAGTTGATAGAGACAAAAGGAAAACCTGATGTAGGAAAATGCACAAAAATATCTGAATAGCAACATGACTTATAAAATGGTTGGCTACGATAAATAACACATGTAGTCTGTAGTAAAATCCACAGTGCAACATTGGTGTTTCTCCACTGTAACTGTTTGCTGTACCTGAAAAACCTGCAGCTGCTCCAAAGTGACCTCCTGACTCTGACCATGTTCTCTGGGCAAATGAATGGCCTTCAACACCAGACCAGAGTCTGCAGCAAAAACAGAATATTGAAAACATTTTGATGTGGGGAAAAAAGCACTCAGTCCTAAAGTTTTGGAAAAGGTCCAGTGCACACACTATACCTGTGCCAATGAACAGGACATCATAGGTGCCGTCCACAGCCTCCACTCTGTCCACTAGCAGTTTGCTGAACTTGTAGTTAACACCCACTCTGACCAACAGGGGGCGCTCTCCCAGCGGCAGCACATTCTCCTAAAACAGCATGTACTTTGTAGTCAGACAATGCAATACAAGTGTGAAATGTTACAGCCAGCCAATTATGTTGTGCATTACTGATGTAAGTTCTCCATCTTTTTGATGAAGACCATTGAGTAATTTAATTTCACTTAAGAATCTGAAGAAACGGACCCTGCTGAAAAATAGGCTGCAATCTTATTTAATTACATGTCATTTAAAAAATGTGAACTATCAGCTGAACCTGCAACAGTGGGTGAGTCCTACTGAAGAAGATGACATCGTCAGGATACTCTCTGGTCGAGCTGTAGCTTCCATATGTACTGCTAGGACACTGATAGTGACAAAAAAAAAGAAACAGAGAGAGAAAGAGAGATTTTCATTCAATAATTGTGGGGTAACTTCATTTACTGCAGTGTTAGAGGATTTCAATCCAAATGTAGCTCAAAATGTAACTGAAAACCAGAAAAAGAAAATGCCAATTACTGTGCAAAACTATCATTACAGTAAGATAAACAGGCCGTAGCACTAATTTTCCAGTCTATGCCATTACAGTAAACCAGTACAGAAGAAGAGGGCAAATGAAGATGATGTCATCCAATGAGCATCAGTTGAACTTCAAATAGTAAATGTTTTATTGAAACATGGCCTTTTATTAATATGAGGAATGTTACAATTACCTTGTTGCTAGACATACTGTAATTTTTCTTTTAATCTCTGGGCATTTAAGTCACATGCTTCATGTCATGATTAAAGTCTGTTTCCATCGCACTTTGTTTCATTTTGTTTTTAACAGTAGAGTAGCCCTTCCACCTCAGCCAAGCCTAAAGGCATGTTTGTGATATTCACGATTTTGTGACGTCTGCACCATTTTAAAATGGATATAAAACTTGTGGATGGAAACCAACTTAATATCCAAGTGTAGCACTTGTTGTTGTTTGTGAGGGTATTTACTAATTTAGAAAAAAAAAACACTGCCTTAAAGAGAGACTTTTAAATATTAACTTACAGTCCCTGGTCGTGGGTAGGGCACCTTGCCTGTAAATTCTGCCCACTTATACTGAGGCCCCTCTTTGTGCAAGAAATTTCCCTTGAAAGCCCGAACGACATCCTCCA